TATTTCCCACTGCTTTTTTTTCTTTCTTTCCATAGGATTTTGAAGTTAGTGTTGAAATGACTACTATTACTTTTTTTTAATAAGGAGTTAGTTAAAGGCTTAAGAGAGACTGAGAATTAAAGAACACGTATACATTTTTTTTTCTCTGACTCTGGATACCTAAATGGATGTAAGACTTTTTTTAATGAGGGAATATGTTCAAAACCTAATCTGCATCTGTCAAAGGGCCCCGTGTTAGGCTTCTGTTAGGGCCTGGGTAATATATACAGAATTCCTTTGTGTAAGACCAGTTGAAATGCAACTATAATGCCTTTCATGTCCCAGTGCTTGTTTAGTTTTAATATCTCTGGGTGTTCCCGGAGAACTCTACAAGTATAGTGTATGGTATTTTTCCTTCCACCCTCTGGGAAAGTTCTGTTAATTTGTATAATCATTCCAGGCCTATCAGCAGTCACCATAATGGAGTTTTACTTCTGTTTTGTTTGGGTTTTTTTAATAGTTCAGATTAGGAAGAGAAAAAGCCTTTTGCTTACTCCTCGACTAGCTTTTACAGGGCTGTAGTACCATGACTCTCTAGCATTTTCCTTGTAAAAACACTAGATTTGCTACATACTGTTTTTTCAACTTGTATACTGTAGCTAAGTGGGACCTTTTAGTGTTATGAGCACGCTCACTTGGAAGTAGGAAATTTAGACTCTGGAGCTGCTTCTTTCACTACCGAGAAATGGTAAACTTGAATGGATTCACACACGCTTTTTTAAAGCTGTAATTTCAGTTCCACAGCCACTTTTGATAGAATAATAAAGAAGAACAAAGGTTTATTTGACTACTTAGCAATAGTGCCCATAAGGGAAGGGAACTCAAAAGGAGATGGCAAAGACATGGGTGATCACCGTAGTGCCACTAGGATTCACGTTGCCTTCTGGTGTTGTATTCTGTTCTTGTGAAGGTCAGATGGTAACAGAAATTCACCATATCCTTGCCAATATGTGAAAACTACTCAGGGTTTGTCACTTCATCTACAAGCAGTTTTGATTTAAAGGTAATTCCTCTCTATCAGAGCAAAACACTGTGGATTCTTACTCACATATTTAGTTATAGTTGCACACAGGCTATTGCCAGGTTTAGCAGTAGAAGATTTTTCTATCTAGTTGTTCTGATAATTTATATGATTGAGGGGTAAACTGACACGAGTGTGCTCTCTTGACCAATTTCAATCTGAATTAGGTTATACCATTTTTGTGATTAAGACTTCTATATGTTTGGAGCTGATTTCATCAGCTTTGGTTATCTGCTTACCAGGAAGCATGATGGACTTTTTTAAAGCCCTCTAGCTTTCTGCCGTAACGTCCTTCAAGGCAGGAATGTTTCTCGTGTGCACTCTGCTGCAAAGAGAGATATGTGTTTTAAATCATAAGGCTCTTTCCTTAATAAACTTACACAGTTGCCTACAGCACTTAATTCAAGGCCGACTTTCTAAAGAAAGTTGGATGCCCATCTCAGTAGAGTTTGGTGCTCTACCAGAAAGTGCTTCTTGAAAGCCTCACTGTTGGTCAACTTGCCCATTGAATTTGGGGTTGTTTTGGTTTTTCTTCTTTTTTTTTTTTTTGGCTGTACTGATCACTGTAAGCAAGCAGCCTTAGCATGAAATATGCATATCTGGGATCAGCTGACTTTGCAGATACAGTAGAAATGGAAATGGGTGACAAGGGGTATTTGTTTCCACAGTACTGAGATTCAGAACATGAAAATGTGGGATTTCTTCATCACTCCAGGGTTTTGCTCTGGTTGGTGTGATTGTGAATACTGATGCTATCTGAGATGGTTCTACTGTGCTGATGTGAACTATGTGATCTTGCTTAGTATTTGCTGTAGTAAGACTGCCCACGAGCTGCTCCAAAACCCAAGGAAGAAATTTCTGAACAGATTTAAAAGGATTTTAAGAAATCACATGGAAAAAAAAATATAGAATTCATAAGGCTTTTTTTAAATACTTAGTATGCAATTCTGGGAGAGAGGGGAGTCATTGCTATGGGATGGCTTCCAGCAAGGTGCAGAAGGACAGGTCTGGATTGATTGCAACTTGTGGGTAGATGACAGCTGTGCCTGTAATACACATGGGGGCTTAGAGTGCTGCTGCTTACATGCAGTCTGAAGCTCATGTTCAGGAAACTCCATTGTGGAAAAACATGGATCCTTGAAGGTTGTATGCTTTTGCTGTGTATTAAGTTTGAAAGGGCATTTGTTGAGTTCATGGAAATGGTTCTTACTCTGTTTTGGTACTTAATCATGTTGACGAAGACAAGATGACTGTTGCTATTGTGGACTTCAAAACTGAGGAGGAGGATGACATATAAACACACATCTGTCTTAACTACTGATGTTTACAACCATAGCAAGTCCTGACCGTGTAGGACAGAAAGCACAAAAATGGTATATTTTCTTAAAAGTGTGTGCCTCACAGTCTTTTGACAACACAAAATTTTTTTAACAGCTGTGGGAATTGTTCTGTAAAATAAAAACTGAACTCTCAGGATTTGACCACAATGTTTTGTATTGTTACTGATTCTATTTGTTGCTCTTTTTCTGTATATTTGCACTGTTTGATTTCTACTTTGATAAATATCTTTTTTCAGATCTCTCTCTGTAAGGAAGCCCTCACTTACGAGTGTTGTTTTTTTCTTCAATAAAGTTGTAATTGCATTGAACAAATTGCTCTTGCAGTTAATTTGGACGCTTTAATGATGATGAATCCAGATGATGCTCAAATTGCTGATGAGGTGGGGGTAATATGATTATTTTTTTACCCTCAAGTGTCAACGTTATTTTGCCAACAAAATATTGATTTAGTCTGTGCTACAGAGCTACTCCTCGTTCCATTCTGTCAGCAAAAATTATTAGAGTCATGTCTCTGTCTTTTCTTTGTGAAATACGTGCATTCTGAATGCTGCAAGTAAAAAAAATAAAATCAGTGACTTAAAAATGCACGTCAGAAATAGGGCTAAAGGCAATGACTCAGAAAGCATATCTGTTTCAGTTGGCGTGCAACATGCATTCAAAAACTTGCTGTGATTTTAATTTTCCTTACCAGTCTGGTGGGCTTTGCACCAGCCTACTTCCAGTGTGTTAATTTTTCCTTCTGATTGGTAGGGGAAACCCAAATGGCTGCCATTTGTTTATTTTTATTGCAAGGATGGTTGCAACCCTTGAGTGTTTTGGGAGATGTTGTGTTTTCAGTTTTGGTCTTCTAAGAAAACTGTCTTGAAGCTGAATGCACTGAAATTTCTTCACAGTAAGGTGCATTTTTTTATTTTTTTAATAGAAGAGACCTGCCTTTCTGTAACACAGGGACCTAGTGGTTTGTATTTTATTTTTTTAAAAAGAGCTCAGAGGAACCAGGGGAGTTTCATATAACTTTTTTTATCAAGCCTACTGTGAGTATGAATCTAAACCTACAAATGCAACAGATCCTTTCTTTAAATGTTCAGTACTTTGTTTTCTCTGCCTAGTTCAACCTGCATAATGTGGAGCTGTTGGAATGGGTCCAGAGGAGGACCATGAAGATGATCAGAAGGCTGGAGGACCTCCACTGTGGGTATAGGCTGGGAGAGTTGGGGCTCTTCAGCCTGGAAAAGAGAAGGCTCCAGGGGGACCTTGTAGCAACCTTCCAGTACCTGAAGGGGGCCTACAGGAAAGCTGGGGAGGACTTGTTATAAGGGCATGTGGTGACAGGATGAGAGGAAATTGTTCTAAACTGAAAGAAGGTGGATTTAGACTAGGTCTCAGGAAGAAATTCTTTACTGTGAGGGTGGTGAGACTCTGGAACAGGTTGTCCAGAGAGGCTGTGGATGCCCCTACCCTGGGAGCAAATCCATGGTGGATTTGAATTTAGTAGTGAGACTGCTGGAAAGCTGCTACATACCTAATGTCTAGCCTTTCTCCTCCCTCCACAAGGTCTGATTTATGAGAGAGAGTATTTTATGGATGCATGTAGCTGGAATTTTTCCCTTTGCTTACTTGTTTATTTCATATTGAGTTCAGGCTTGGTTGCAGTATCCATGGGGTAAAGGATTGTAAATGTCCATCCATACTGAACTGTGGAAACTCCTGAAGGGAGTGAAAACCTTTTTCTCTTTTTTTTTCTGAAGAAAGCTTCAGATGGAATAGAATATCTAAGCTGCCAATCTTTCAGATTGCTATTTTAAGTTAGCCTATTTGAAACCCTTTTAAGTTTTTCTCAGGTTCCCATGTGGCATCTCTAGAAGAGGTTATTCCTGAGAGTTTGTGATATAAAATCTGCAGAAATGAGAAGTAACACTGATGTAGCTGAAAAATGGTTAGAAGTATAGGCTGGCCAACATGATTTCAGTGCAGCTCTGAATGGATGTCACTTCCCAAATACGTGGAGTGAAAACAAGTTATTTTGTCATGAGTATTTGCTCTTGTGTTTTCTATTTGTGTGTAATAAGATGTGTAAGTCTTGTTACTTTTGAGAGAAGCAAGTATTTCAGCCGTGTATAATTATTATTAGAATCACAGAACATCCCGAGCTGGAAGGGACACACGAGGATCGTTAATTCCAACTCCTGGCCCCACACAGCACCACCAAACTCCAAGCCCTATGTCTGAGAGTGGTGTCCAAACACTCCTTGAACTCTCACAGCTCAGTGCTGTGCCCACTGCCCTGTGCAGCCCGTTCCATGCCCACTGCCCTGTGGTGCAGACCCTGTCCCCAACCCCCATCTGCCCTCCCCTGACACAGCTCCATGCCGTTCCCTCGGGCCCTGTTGCTGTTGCATCTCCCCTTCCAGCCCCTTCACCATCCTCATAGTCTCCCTTTGCACTCTTTCTAATGGTTCTATGTCCTTCTTATCCTGTGGTGCCCAAAACTGCACACATCATTACTTTTTTTTTTTGTAATACATTGATGTTTATCACCAGCTTGACTAGATCAGGATCTTTTTTTTTATTATTATTATTTTTTTAAGAAACAAGAAAAATTTCTCTGAAAAGCTTCCCGTGCTTTCTAAGCTGATGTTGATTGTAACAGCAGGCAGGGAGGTGCTACTTGAGCAGGCTGACTGAATAACTGCCAAAAACATACCTGGCTGAAGTTATTGAAACTGTCCTCTCCGCCACCCCGGCATTAATGAAAAGGCTAATCTTCTCTAAGTCTCTTATAACCCAGCAATCTCTTAAGGGGCTGGATCCGTGATTAAAAACAGAGGGAAAGCAGCTGTCTTTTTATCCTCTCGTAATTATTCCTTGGTCGTCAATAGGTGTTGATTTCCTGGGAGTGTCATGGTGATAGAGGTTACGTTTCCCTGTGTTGTTGGGACTAAATGTTCAGGGGTGTTGGTTGTTTGAGTGCACCACTGAGAGCCCTGAGGATGGAAAGTGTGAGTCTTGTTCTCTGTGATTTCACTGCATCGTGAAGGTTTGACTTATTTTGGAAACGTGCACCTAAAGGCCAAAAAACAGCTATCCAGTGTCAAGGCAAGGAGGGGCCTCTTTAATTACCTTTTCTCTTTTTTTCTTCTGCTGTATCTCACCAGCTGGTGGTAGGAATGGGTTTTAAAATGATTTTAATTAGAAAGTCAAAACCAGCAACTCACTTCTTACCGCTGCAACTTGGTGAATAAATTTTAGTAAGTATTTCAGGTTTGTTCTGTCATTGCTGTTTCCAGACCTTGTTGCTACAATTAAAAGTACGAGTCGCTAAATTCTTATTGGTAAATCCTGGACACAACTAGAGATGTCTCTAAGCGTTGTACTTTTGACTAGAAGGGCTTAGTTCTGGGAGGCTGTGAGCCACCAGATGGCCGCTTCCTGGTCAGTAGCATCCAGCTCTCTCCATGGGGTTCCAGAGGAAGCTTTCAATGTTGCATGTTTGGTGCAAACCCTTCCTACTTCCTGAGACATCCATACCCATCCACTTGTTTAATTGCACAGCTATGGATGACAAGTGCCTCATTCACACTGCGTCCTACTTTCAGTGGCAGTGACTGGCACTCACCTTGTTACCCTATTACTTGGTAAGTGCTGTTACCTTTTCCTTCAAATGTCAAGTATGGGAAGACTTCCAGCTAAGAAAGAACCATCAAGAAGGTAGGAGGGAGAAGGGATGTTTAGGAAGTATTCAAGTTTGTTATTTAGGTGAACAAAGGAGGCATTTAAAATGTAAAGGACGTCTCCTAAAACAGGCCAATTATTTGTAATAAAGATTTTCACCCTTAGTATTTTCTAGAAATGAAAAGTCAACAATAAGCAATTAACTCAATGTATCTATTGCTTTGGTTTCTCTCCTGTAGCCCCTCTTCATGGCAACTGTCTGTCTGTAAGGCAGCCAGCGTATGATGTGATGAAGACCAATACGTGAGGTGGGATTCATATGGATCTGGATGTATATTTTTGAGTAAAATCTGTGCCCTGATTATATAAAGCTGATGACTTTTCTTGCATGCATGCAAATTTGTTATTTCTTTGGCTAATTCTAGGCTGTAAATATACATCAGTGGTGAGATGTGCCTTGTGAATATACTGCTACATGCATCACCAATTGCTAGTAGAGCCCGAACTCCTAGAGCTGAAACACCCTTCCCCATGCTTAAAACCAGCAATTGGCCTATGCCATTAGCCAACCACAGGTAACTACTCTTTTTGGAAAATACTGAGGTTGCACGTATCTTGAGCTATGGTAACAAAATTATAAATTTAAAATTAAAACTGTGTAAAATTGAAATATTTTAAGAGATATTTTTCTTTCTTTTTGTGAGAAAATTTTTGATGATCAAGCACCTTAAGTGGTAATTGAAAGCAACCAAGTGTAACTTACTTTTGGTATCTCAGAGTGCATTTCATTGTTGTGGAGGATGCGAGTTTTAATATTTGAAACTACAAAGAAAATGCCTCTCCTGCAGGCACAAGAAACTGTAAAAATCCAGTCTCATTGATTAAAAATTAACCCCAAAACTTCCTAGTGTAAAATATTTCACGTAGCTCTGATTCCCGTCTTTATTAACATTTTGTAATATCATGAAAGCAAACAAGTGGTCTCTTAAGTGTTTGCTATGCTGTTTGATCTCGTGTGACATGTGCAGAAAAAAATGATAGAACTTCTCTTTCCTTTTTGAGCATTTGAAAAAGAAAGCCCAAATGCTAATCTATTCAGTGTTGCGTGATGTTACCTGACAAGCAATTATTTCTCCAGATGCCAAGTGGCACACTTCAAAGTACCTAAATATCCTGTAGATTTTAATGTACATTCTTCATTTGCTCAGCAGTGAAAGGAGGCTGGTTAGTAACTAGAAGTTGCTATTTGCTTAGGCCTGGTACAGACAGACACCTTTCACAAGGTGAGTTGACTGATAATCTAGTTAAAATGTTATGAGCTGACAATTCAAACAAGGTATGTAAAGACTGGGAAGATGAAAGAAGGAAGATGTGTCAGAGTGCAAAGTTCCCAGTTGGGATGATTGGGATTATAGATGTAAAAAATACATCACAACTGCATGACTTTCACTTCCTGTGGTGCTGGGATTGCTGGGCAGTGAAAGTGCTCACTTAAAGTCTCCTTTGTTCTGCAGAACGTCGTGTTGCTGCACACATGCAGCTGTGCTGTTTTGAGGACTTGGAATCAGTATCCTCACTCTGGCTCAATGTTGAGGGATTACTAGGACTACTAGCCAAAAAAGGTGCTGTATGACATGGATAGAACCTACAAATTCTGGAGGGAGATGATACCTCTTGGGTTTTTGCACTGCGAGATAAGTTGAACCTTGTTAAGGGATGGATTTAATTTAAATCCTGTTTTCTAGAGTTTGCCAGACCCTTCCTTGACTTTATAAATGTCATCACTGGTCCACTGTCGAGCCCCAAACCAAATCATTTCACTGCTTAGAAAGCTGGAAGCACAGAAATTCAACAAGGGCTCTTGAGTTAAACAAACACAAAGTTTTAAGTAAGTAGGTAGAAAATATATTTCTCTAAAAAGAAATGCCCAAAGTTTATTTTCATAACCAAATTCCTGACTATGTCATATCTAACAGACTAGAAATTTCCCAGATGTTATTGGAGCTAAATGCATCCGGAGGAATTAGGCACTCAAATGCCTTATGTGCTAAAGTCCAATGTTTGTGGATCAGTGGTATTCACATAATTTAACCTTCGCTTAACTCTTTAGCACAGAACTGGACCCAGGTTTCTCAGATCCCTGTCTCACTGCTGAAGTCGATGGATTTCTTGGTATAACAGTGGCTTCTTTTACAACTGTCCTTTGTGGAAAGTATATGCAGTTCAAAGAGACTTGCCAGATAAGGCCTCAGGCTGAGAGGAGAGGGAATGGCGGTTTTAGGAATGATGAGGGAGCTTTTGGATGAAGCAGACCTTCAGTAGGTCAGCAGTACCAGGCCTTAAGACAGTTATGCCTATACCCAGCCTCAGAAGTGTGGGATCTGTCCCTAGAAATGCATCCAGAAGGAAGTTGAGGTAATTGTAAGGTGCCACAGACATTTTGTGAATGAAACTGGGATCCAAGGGATGGACAGAACAGGCATCAACACTGGAGTGTAAGGATGCTATTTTTTCCTTCTGCAATCTAACATGTTAATTTAGGAACTTGGAGGATGTTGATTAATGAAGTTAATGCGTTTATTCAACATGCTGGGTGAAAATAAGGCTATTGTCTTCTATCTTTAAGACTGTCTTCTCTGTTTAACTGTCTTGACTGTTACTAGCTCCTTCAGCTAGAGTCCGCATCAGCGGGAATGCAATTTTCATGCATTGTTTCAGTCTGGAAATGAAATAATTTTCATTAATGGAAACCTGGTTCTCAAGCAGAACAATTAGACCCACTTCAGGTTGAAAAAAGATAAAAGCATGCTAATTTGGATGGAGGACTCTTCTTTCAAGGCAGCCAATTGAGTCATCAGCCTGCCACCCACCTGACCGTCTGACAGGTAATTAGGAGATAGTCCTTTTTTTTGTGTGGAGTGTGTGCATAAACCTGCACACGCTGGTGTCACTGCCCATTGGGACTTCCAGAGAAAAGAGCTAGTCAGTGGCAAAAGAGTGAGGAGGGCACGTTTCTCAGGCTGTGCCCAACGATCTGACTTGCTTTTTAATTTAGCTTCCTATTTCTGTCTTTTAACAGCCACCTGAAGTTTCTGGCAGTAAAGTCATTATGGCAGACCTGGGTTGCAAAAAGTCCACTGACTGCACCGTCTCCAGGCTGCTCAGCGTCGTGGAGAGCGAACTCCGGGCAGGGAGAGACAAAGGTGACCCCACTGAGAAGCAGCTCCAAGTTGTCTTAGAGGATGCTACCCTCTGGCAGAGATTCAGAGAAGTTACCAACGAGATGATTGTGACCAAGAATGGCAGGTGAGTGATCTGCATAGCGCTGTGTGCTAAGGGTGGGTGACAGCCGGGGGTGTGAAAAGGCATAATAATAAGTAGTGTGTGTATAGGCTAGAGAGATCTGCAGTGAGCATGTAGCAGTGTGGTCCCCTAAAAGCAGAGTAGGGACAGAATGGGGTGTCCCCACTCCTTTCTCTGAAGCCATTCCTGCCACACTTTATCCCTGCTTGTGAAACATGCTGGAGAAATGTATTGACAAAAAGGGAACTTTCACCAAGGAGTGGACAGTATCTCTCAAAATCTTCTGGATTGCTTCTTGTGCTACCAGTCGTTAATGTTTATTACCACATTCCTACCTGTAGATCTCAAAGGACTGTACAGAAGCAGACCAGTGCTGTTATCTCCCCGTTGCTGTTCTTGTTTCTCAGGCTTTGGAGGTTAATAGTCTGCGCACACAATCTGTACTAGAAAAGGGTACAATCCAGCTGTGCTCTGTGGCTTCTATGTGCAGTCCAGATCTGCGCGGTCCCACAGCTGTATCACTCTGTAGTTGTTGCTGGTGTATTTAGTAAGCACCGTGGAATACTGGTTGACATACAGAGCTTTAAAAAGATAACAGATTGTGATGTAAAGGGGATCATATATCTTACTATTTGCTGAGTGCAAAACCCGGAGAACAGAATGTTAATTCTGAATCGGATACTGGCTTGAAGGAGGCTCTCCAGATAGGCTCTGCACTGAGCTGGGAAGGCAACAGAGTCCAGGTAATGACTAGAGGAAAGTTTTCCTGTACAGTAGTACTAAGGTTTTTACTTACTCTACCCTTGCTACCTCTGCCATCCCCTCCCACCCCTACCTCCACGCGTGTTTCTTTTGCAAGGAAGATCTGCATGGAAGAGCAGGATTAAGAGATGAGAGAAAAGATTTACGCTCATATGTGAGTTCCATCAGTTTTGCAGAGATCTTGGTTGAACAGAACTTGTGGACAAGATTACTATTGCCTGTAGCCTGACAGGAAAGCAATTAAAAGGGGAAAAGTCTTGTCTGCTTGCTCAGCAAGATTCTTCTACTAAGAGAACAGTTCTGCTTCCAAAATATCACTGCTTATTGCTACTCTGATTCCTAGGAATCTATAAGGATAGATGTTGTCTTCTGTTCTTCTTTACACCAAGAAGTTGCTTTTGCTTAATTTGAATGTTTATAGTTGCTGTTGGGCTAAAGCAAACTTCTGAGTGGATTTTCCCTTAATGTAAGGTAGATTTAAACTGATTCCTTATCAGCATAAGTAACTAAGATAAGAATAAATTTGCACCAAATGAATTAAGTGCATACAAAAGATTGTGCCTTACCTGCAGGTTGTGGGTTTTTTTTTTTTCAGTTTCTTTCCTCACTGCTAATGTATGTTGTGATTGCAGGTGATACTCTTTCTCTCTAAAATGTCTAGGTGAGTGCATGTATATAATATTTTTATGCTGCTGCTGAGATGAAAATCCATCATTATTTGAATATGCAATGTTGCATTTTAATTGTGGAAGCTTGTTTATTTTTCTTCATTCTAACAGCACTGATCTTACCAGCTGGTTCTTATTTTTCCTAAAGCTAGTGCCAGTGGGGACAGGTACGTGTTCTTTCTATCTGATTCAACTATAGCAGTCTCAAACTGCTATACATATATGTATCTATATATCATGCAATCTGCATGAATCCTTATAATGAAGGTTTTGTAGCATTAATGACTGAAAAAAAAAGAAAGTATTTTCCCTTAACAAACAAACCTTAACAAAGCACAGTGAAAAAATGGAACAGACAGTGGCTGCTGCAAAACCCTCTGAACAACTCCATGCTTTTCAAAAGGAGACAAACTTGGGACAGTTTCCTGTAAATCCTGAGCTTTTCTCCAGGCTCAGAAACTCTTCAGTGGCAGTCTGAAGGGATTCTCAAAAGAAAAAATATTGATCTAATTCTGCTACTTCTTACAGCAATAGAACCAACTCAGACATTCTTCTTGAAGGATGTGTGAGCACTTCTGAAAACTGTTTTCTAAGATTAACAGGAAAAGCCAGCCTGAACTTGGATGTTTGAAAATGAAGGGCAATTTGTGTGGAAATATTGTTAGCGAAGTTCTGAAATTAAACTGAAACTTGATGCGGGAACGCACTGGAGAATGAAAGGCTGTCTGATACGGTCCTCAAATGTGAATTTCTAGCATGCACAGTTCTATCTGCTGTGATTGAGTCATCTCTAATTGGTACTGAGGGTCCCAAAATGTTCTGAATCACCTTCCCTGTTAATACGTAGATACTTCTCCATAGCTGCACTGTGGTTCATTATATGAATCGCCTGCCGCAGCAAAGCACCTAGGTACACAGGGAAGATGGATGTGTTTTTAATAGGATGGATACAGTGAAATTAAACTGCATGCTGTATCACAAGATTTATCTCAAAGGGTGCAGCTCACGTGCTAGAATCAGTCTCCTATTTTACTCAGATTTATTGTATTTTATTGGCATTTCAACATTTAAACAATCCGTTTGCTGACTGAGCAAGTTTTCTTACAACTTTGATACCATTTCAGCCTATATGGTATTCTGAAACATCCACATTACCGTGTGGAGGCAGGAAAGGGCCACTATTCCCATTTATATGCAGGGAGAATCAGTACTGGGTCAATGCAGGCAAACATCACAAAATCACAGAATGGCCAGGGTTGGAAGGGACCTCAAGAATCATGAATATCCAACCTCCCTGCCACATGCAGGGCCACCAACCTCCTCATTTAATGCTAGACCAGGCTGCCCAGGGCCCCATCCAATCTGGCCTTGAACACTTCCAGGGACGGGGCATCCACAACCTGTCTGGGCAGCTGTTCCAGTACCTCACCACTCTCTCAAACATGGAAGGGGATGTGGGGAAAGGCTTAGATGCTAAAGCAACTTTACTCTTTACTACACATTCAGATTTGATACACCAAACATCTTCCCACTCAAGCTCCGTACCATGGAGTTATTGTAGCAGATCTTCTCTAAATAAATGGAAGAGATTGAAATACTCAGCTATTGCAGTAACAGAGGTCACGTGCACCTACCTGATCATTGGAATCAATTCTGACTGAAACAAATTTGTGGAAATTGTCATTTGCCATGCTACAGCATGCGATTCGAACAGTAAAACTGTTTATTTGCTCAACAAGTGAGGTGGTAGGTCTTCCATCATTAAGGCCTGTACAATCAAACATGCTGATCCAAATGATGTGGGGATTGTGTGTGCGGCAGAGATTAATACAGGAAAATGCTGTAACTTGTGTGGTACAGGAGGTTAGAGTTGATGCTGATCTGCTCTCTTGGGGATAAACTCAAGCCTCTCAAGTAGAAAGGCAGAGAATGCAGAGAATGTTGCTTTGTGTGCAGAAAAGCTAACAAATAGTTCTGAGAAATCTAGCAAAATTAAATTTTTTGAGGATGAGTGAGTTTTCCCCTCTGTTTCAATTTCAGCTAAATATGTAAGCCTGTTACTTTGAAGGTGGGCTGCAGGTGACCTGGCTGTGCAGGGAGCAGTGCATCCACAATTTTAGTCACGTTCCTGTTTGAAAGAAGGGGACACCTGGTCAGAAAGACGTGTTAAATGTAGTGAACAAATTCTTGGCTAAACTTCTACTTAGAAAGATCATGGTTCAGCATATCTTTCTCAGTGTTGCATTGGCACTGAGTCACCAAGTGCTCATACTAAATGAAAAAACTTTCTCAAATCAGAGAGAGTGGGCTGAATGTTTGTCTAGAAAGGTAAGAAGTGAGTAGGATGTCGTAAAAGGCAAAGGAGATGGTCTGCAGGTAAAGCCTGCTGAAGAGTATGAGTGCAGGGGCCTTTTGGTGTCACTGGAGAGAGTGAATTTTCAGTTCCCTTCTTGTGTATTTTGGACAATTTGCACTGCTGCCTAAGTAAGCCTAGAGAGCTACCATAACCATGGACTCCAGGCAGTGTCTGAGGTGTAACTAATCTCTGTATCTCTAGAGAAAAGAAGCTTGAAGTCTTATCGTTCTACGCATAAAAATGTGGCAAATTGTTGGTTTCCAGGAGGAGTCAGTGTGGATGTCTCTGGGGCCAGGAGCCTCATGTTTATATAAGAATAGTAGGAGGTGATACATAGCAACTACAATAATTCTGCATGTAATGATGTGTATGATGCCACAACCTAAGAAACGTAATGAGTAAGGTATGTTTGATGGGAGATGTCTGTTCTGCTACTTTTCCCAGTTCCTGAAACTCTGAGAGCCCTACTAATTCCATTGCTGTAGACTTGTCCAGGCACTGAGATGCCAATTCAAATCTGTAGTCACAAGCATTGGAACAGAAAGAAAACTGACAAAAGTCTAGCTGTGAACTGCTGCAAATCTCCTTTACAAAGGAAGGCATAAGAAATAAAAGGGAGTTAAGAAAAAGGGGCATTGGAATCAAGGACAAAGATGCTTCAAAGTGTTTTCCCAAAACTAAATGAAGATAGTGTTTTAATTTTATATGCACAAGATGGTGGGAAGTCTGGATGATACATGTTTAGAGCTCTTAGTAATGGACAGCATTGCATCTACGGTAGAACTGTAAGTGGAAGAATGTGATCAAACTGATGAGAACGAGGAATATGGAAGGAAGGGAGCGGATGACTGGAAGAACTGCCAAGTGCAGGTTGGTCAGCAAGGATCAGACTTCTCAAACTGGAAATGTATGTACTGACAGTGGAACAGTATGAGAATATTTCTTTTTAAAAAAGGGAGAAAACTAGTTAGCTGTTTCGGCTAACTAATTTTTAATATACCCATGTAATAAGATTTCAGGATGCATTTTCAAGGAAAAGGTAATGAAATATATGGAAGATGACGGAAGATGAGATAAAAGGCATTTTACTGAATGTTAAGTCATGCCTGGCTAATCACGATAAAGAAAATAAATAATTTTACACAAGGTAAATGCAGCCAAATTATTAGTACACTTGAGTATTGCTGCCTGAAAACTGTTACTTAAGTGACAGATACTGGGGTTTAGCAGATGAAGCAAAGGAAATGAACCAGAGGAAAGTGAATCATTTAGCTCGCAGAAACCATGGAACCATCCCTTCCAAAGAAGGAAGAAAAATCTTTGTATATTGTTGTTGTGGTTATCTGCCTGGGATTACGTTCTAAAGGCTGGAAATGGCAAGATGATTTTAGAGGATATACACAGAGTGAGACAAAGTAGAACTTGGCCACTGGACAATGTTCTGCAGGAAAATAAAAGCACCAAAATGCAATTTATTGCAGGATTCCGTAATTAATGCAGTTAATCTGTGGTTTGGCTTCACCTTCTCAACCATCTTTGAGTCTGTTCAAGCCTGTTCATCCCTTCTTGTCTCAGACCTAAGGATGGTATTTAGCATGTCCGCATCCAATAGATGCTGCTGACACTATACACAGTTCATAAACAAAACACATTCACAAATCTAGATCAAGACCTGAGTACCCTACTTCAGCAATAACATGTTTTTCCAAAATTGTAAAAATAAAAAGAAGGATTAAACTTTAGGAGACTTTTCTCTAGGTATACAGAGAGAGATGGGGAGAGAGGATGTTTTTGACCTTGACCTAACCTGCGGGGCTGCTGGCCACAAACTCACTAAGACGAGCCTTTCAAAATCGTTTTCTAATGGTATCTGCACTTTTTGTTTCTTGAACAGGCGGATGTTCCCTGTTTTGAAGATCAGCGTATCAGGCTTGGACCCAAATGCCATGTATTCGTTCCTGTTAGACTTTGCCCCGACTGACGGCCACCGCTGGAAGTATGTCAATGGAGAATGGGTGCCAGCTGGGAAACCAGAGTCACCAAACCACAGCTGTGTCTACATCCACCCAGATTCTCCCAACTTTGGGGCCCACTGGATGAAAGCTGCCATCTCCTTCAGCAAAGTCAAACTTACCAACAAGCTCAATGGGAATGGGCAGGTATGGGTATGGCCTGATGTTTCCCCATACACCTCTTGGCTTCGATTGCAAGCACCTACCAATCAAGAAATATCAAGGGTGCATTTATGTAATTATAGAGGCCCTTACAGTCCTCTTCACCCACAGATGCCAATTATTCTCTGGAGGCCACATGTAAACAGGAATAAACAGGCCTTAATTGGCGCTTTCAGATTTTAATGGACTTCTTGATGTTAAGAGAAACAGAGTGCTGTGGTTTACTTAATCATCAGGGGGCTTTTGAGAGTTGGTCTTGTGCGCTGGTTGTTTTTTTTTTTTTTTCTTTTACATAGGACTTCAGAGAAGGGGGAAAGAATGGTCACGGGTATTAGGTTTTTGTTGTGTTCCCCCATGTTGTTTGGTGTAAGTGGAATGTTGGCAGGAGTCAGATAGCAGAATAAAAGGCTGCTCCTAAATGAAATAATTACTATGTCTGCTTCTGCATCATGATAATTATCAATATTCTATTGAATCAGCTTTGGCCTTTGGAAAGAAACCACATGTACCAGAAATAAGTGACTTTCTCTTTGAACCCCTTAAAAATGCAAACAGGAAAATTAGTTTTGCTTCATATTTTGTTTTTGATGATGCATCTACAGATAAAATATTGCACAAGACCTTTTGTTTTGCTTGTTTTTGTACAAAACTCCTACGTTGGATGATACTTGTCAGCCCAGAATTTTTTTTTTTTTCTGTGTAAATTTTGTATGTTCTCTACCCATTATTTCCATTTGGTTTGTGAGGTACCTTCATAAGCCTAGTGCCTTAATTAGGTAGGAAATTATCTCAATTTTTAGATACTGAAGAACAGAAAGATGACCTGACTTTTCATAAAGTAACAGATAGAATTGGCACACAGAACTTACTGTGTAACATAAAATAGGATCTAAATTTGCAAATTCTAATCCTGCATCCAGGACCTTAGAACAGTTAAAAGTCTAAATGTATGCATTGTAGAAAGAGAGCGACAGGAACAATGAAAAGACAATTTGGAAGGTCAAAGAAACCTTGATGGGAAAGACAGAAGCAAGAACTTTATATATGGGCAAGAGAAGAAGGAGAAAGTAGAAAGGAAAGGTGGAAAAGCTAAAGGAGAAACAATCCAAAGAAAAGTCAGCTAAATGGCAAACAACTGAACCTCTCCTTGTTTTAAGTTTTGGCAGCAGTGTTAAGGTAAACCACATCTCCACTGTGTTTCAGCTTCCCCTTTTGTGGTGTTATTAGAAAGTATTAGCAGAAAGCACTGTTAGTCAGCTATTGGCTCCTATTCCATCTATATATATATGCACATAGCACTTTCCAAAATACATTTTTTTCCTTAATTTTAAATATATTTTGTTGCATTAGAGATAATTAAGTAATGAAACAGGCTTCCTGAGGAAGGTATTCTGTAGAATTACCATTATGCACAGCTTTAAATGCTAGAGACATTTGCCAAGGCTTGTTTAGGTAAATCTTGCCCAGAAAGATGAGAGGTGACTATCCCAGATCTATCCTGACCTTGTTTTCTGTGATGATAATTCTGACTCTTTCAGATAGCAGAAGCAGGATAGAGATTGCTCCTTAACTGACTGAACAACCTCTAGTGCAGTGGAACCCCGATGGTGTGAAGGCCATGGCTACTAGCACATATGCTGCTGTATCAAAATCTTTAAATCCAAGCTCACTCCGTTCAATTCTGCAGTTTGCTAGGAGTTAGGAAGGCACCTGCCCTTCTGCTTTCAATAACAATAAACGGGAGGGGTTTAATCTGATCTATTATAGAGCAAGAATGAAAAAACAGCGGTGGGATGGATACCAGAGTGTCACTGAGGTCTTTCTGTTTTGTTTTCTGCAGATAATGTTGCACTCCCTGCATAAATACGAGCCTCAGGTACACATAGTTCGTGTAGGAGGCCCCCACCGGATGGTGATGAACTGTTCCTTCCCTGAGACTCAGTTCATAGCTGTGACTGCCTATCAAAATGAAGAGGTAGGCAGATGCCACGCTGTGCTCTTGGGTATCATTGATGAGACATATTAGAAGCCTGTTAACTACAAGATCAGTGTGAATAGACTGGTCCTTTTCTCATTTCACTACTAGTCCCATGCAGTGTAATGCTCCACCCAGTCTAATACTGTCTTCTTTCTGCAGTTGAAAACTATTCATTCCAAGGTCTGGCTGCAGTACTAAGCCAGCTTTAGCTTAATATTCTGCCACTGCTATTCCAGATTGGTCCATCTGTCCTGGCATCCCAAACTCTTACTGTAAAAAACCTACAGTCAGCTCACATATCTTTCTATAGTAATGACCAACAGTTTTAATGATAATCATAGCTCTTTCCTCTCCTTAAAATGCATACAGTTATGGAAAGGCATATCGTTCTAAAGGAAAATTTCTAAAATTGGAATAGAGGGATAATTTGGATTGTGACAATTGTTCACTCATCTGCCATATCTCCTGGCTGCAGATTTGATTTGTATTTGTTTCTCTTCTCAGTTCTCTCAAAAGGGTTCACAATCCCACAGGAATTACCAGACTAGACCACACCATTAAGTTACCCCTTTTTGTGTGCTGCCTGTGGCACTGATCAGTACACAGCACTATACAAAGAGCAAATCTTCCACCAACCACTCCTGGAAAACAATACGTGGGGATATATTTTGTTTGTCTAACCATGGCAGTTCCACTTAGTTTTCTCTGGAAGATGTTGTTTCAACTCTCTATTCCAAGTTGCCTTCACTAACATGCCTTGTTTTCTGTAAACTCAAGATAACAGCTCTCAAAATCAAGTATAATCCCTTTGCCAAAGCCTTCCTGGATGCAAAAGAAAGGTGAGTTGATCTTTTTCAGCTCCAGTAGTATTTGGTTGCTGGTATGGTTTAAAACTGTGATATCACCATGGAAAAAATAAATTATACATAACTTAATCTTGTTTCTATTGTCTTAAATCTAGAGTCACCCCACTGAAACTAGTGGGGAGACTCTATGTAATTGTCACCATGAGATGTCCTAATATGGTTGAGTAATCTCTTCAAGGTGGAAGGACACATGAAATGAGATGGGTATGAGTTTTCCCAGTGATGTTATACACCTCATATGTTCTCAACATTGTACTTAGACTCCAGTGAATATCATAATTCAATAGGTCGGGGAAAATAAATGAGCATATGCTTCAAAAAGCATAGTTAAAGTGAAATTGTGATGTACCAGTAACATAGACACACTGCTATTACTGAACCTGTGTGATACTCTATGATGTGTTTACTAAAAGTAAGCTGTAGGTGCTCATTATGGTAGAGATGCTTCTGCCATCAGAAATGAAATGTGGCTTAATTATTTTACAAAGATTCACTTCATCTGTACCAACACATTGAGGCACCCAAATGATAAATTCCCATCCATCATCGCTATTAAATTTTGTCCAGGTCTGCTGCATCTTCTAAAGTGTCGTCTCCCACATGTATGCAGGAGAATCACTGTTTCTTTCCTTTCCACTCTTGGAGCTGCTGTGTCTCAATTCTCAGTTGCAGAGGGCAAATGCTGCCTTTGTCTCATGACCCTAAGCAGGAGGCAGAGCCTTGCTTTATACTGAGTGGGATGCAGGAAGTCCAGGTGTCCTTAGGTTTCAGGTTCAGGATGCTGTGAAACATAATTGTTTCCTTTATGATAAAGGGCAGAAAAGTCTTTTTGTGTGTGTGCATGACTAGTTTTCAGTTTTTACAATTTGTTTACTAATTTTGCAATAAGAAGTTTTACCACTAGATGTTTTCCCTTTCAGAAACCATCCCAAGGATGCATCAGAAACAGTCTCTGAGGGTCAACATATGACATACTCTCACTGTAAGGTTTTTGTTCATGTGAGCTGGAGATTTTGTGTGATATGATAGATGCTGGGAAGCTGGGATCTGCTTAACTGGATCAGAGCAGCAGTTCACTGAGCCTTGAACTGCCTTTGCAGAAAGGGACTGTCTAAACTAAATAATGATTGAAATAACTTCAATAGGAAATCAGTTTCTGCAGAAGCATCATTTTTTCATAGGATCCAATTTTTGACGTAAATGGAATCCAGGAAAAAAAAAATTATATATGGAATTTTTAGGGCTTTCTCTCCATTTGTTTTGTATTTATAACTGTATTTTTGTCCCCCATAAAACTTTCATCATTAAGCAGGACAAAAATTTAAATGAGGGAGAAGATGTTGTGTTCATTCCAGCGATGATCAGTTTTTCTTTCATTTATTCTTTGACATTAGTGACATTTTCTCTTAGTGTGTTTTCAGGTCTTGTTTTTAGTGGTGGAATTTTTTGGTGGGCTTTTTTTCTTTTGGTTGGTTGTTTTCTGCTTGTCAGTTGCTCCACGAAGCAGTATTTTGACATTGGTTTGATATTTTTGAGGCTCAACTGATGTGCAAGAAGCCTGGCTACTTTATTGAACTGCAATGTTTTAGTGCAATAATATTCTTCTCTTTCCCCTCAAAGTGGGTGGATGGTTGATTTCCAACCCAGATACAATGTGTGCATCAGGAAGCTCTAATTACCAGTATACTGCACCTTTACCTTTGCCAGCTCCACACACTCCCCACGGCTGTGAGCGATATTCAGCGCTGCGAGGGCATCGAGCTGCTCCATATCCACCTTCCTACATGCAAAGAACTCATTCACCTACAGGTACAACTGCTTTGCTTCCAGGAAACATTCACCCTGTCTGACCCTTGCTTTGGTAACCCTAAGCAGTAAAACAATTGAAAGCTGAAGCTAAGGAAGAGCAGTGTGAGTGTCTGTGACAATCTAAGCTGAACACTGAATGCAGAGGGTAAGGTTAAGGCAACAAAAGAAGCGGGACAGAATTGTTCAGTGCATTGTAACTGCTAATTGTAAATAAGAGTGAATGATCTTGCTTAAAGTCCTTCTCTCAGTTCTATAAAAGTATCAAAGCATTGCAAGCCCTCTTTTTAGTGATGTGCCACAAAGCAGTTGCTCTCTCAAGTCAGAGCAGTCCTTAGGAATGTGGCAGATGTTGATTTGAGGTGAGGGCTTTTTGGTATTGCCAGATCTTTCATGTCCCACCTGCTCTCTAGATCTAGGGGTGGAGATACAGAAACTGGTTCTGCTTTGATCATATGAAATTGACCAGAAACAGAAGTAAGGATAAAGTAATCTGTCTGCTAGCTATAATTTAGCAAAGCATCCTGCTTAACTGAAAACTCAACCTGTAAAGAAACGTGTACCAAAACATTGCCAGTCATATGACAGTCATCATTAATCAAAAGATTCTTGGAAAAATGCATGTCATGAGGATTTGTTTTTGTTTTTTTCTCTTCAAAGTGAATTTTTTGGAGAGCTCCAGCAATAATCTTCAGGTATTCTCAGGACACGACAGCTGGACTTTGCCATCCTCTCCACATGCTAATTTGCTCTCAGTGCCACACACCAAGGGAGCTGCCAGCCCAGGACCCAGGTAAGGTTACAGGAAAGCTGCTGGTATTAGGAGCACAAAGGCTAGTAGGACTGCCATAAAGCTCCATTCACGCTTGATTTCTTAACCAATTCCCACCTCCTCTACATATGCAGTCTTCCTTAGGTGAGTCAGGACCTCAATTTTCCATGTGTAAAGTGGAGATACTGTTTAACTGAAGGACCTATCTGACAATAAAGTTTGCCCATCCTACATGACTATGAAATACTACAGAAACAGCACTTACTAGTATGTGTGCACACTTGCTAAGTCTCTCCAGTATTTTATCTAGTAAGCAATATCCCAGATAAAAATGTGCTCCAGAGGTTTCAAAAAATAAATTGTACAGATATCAGCTTGCCTCTGTAATTTTAGCCTTTTTTTTTTTTTTTTTTTAAATCATGGACCTCTTTATATTCAATTTACAACATATGGAATGTTTAATTGTAACTAGGCTCTCTAGAAATATTGGGTTTGTAATGACTTCAGGAATAAAAAGGTTGTTGGTTTTTTTATTTATTACTAAAAGATCTAGTAAAGATTCAACCTTAGGAAGAAATACAAGTGAGATTTAGTGTAGGAATGAGAATTAGGATGTCTAACCTAGCCATACTACCTTAACTGTAACAACCCATTGCTAAATCACATCCCTGAGCAACACATCAAAATGGTTTTTAAACATATTCAGGGATGGTGACTCAACCACCTCCCTGGGGAGCCTATTCCAGTGCTTAACCACCTTTCTGGTAAGGAAGTTTTTCCTGATATCCAAGCTAAACCTCCCCTGGCACAACTTGAGGCCATTTCCCCTCATCCTGTCACCAGTGAGAAGAGACCAACTCCACTCTTGCTGTAAGTATTTTTCAGGTATTTGAAATGAGCAATATGTCCAGTGTTTCACCCAGCAGAGCGTATGCCCATCCAAATCATGGGCAGCCAGCTTTTCCCTATGAGGATGTTGTGGGAGACAGTGTCAAAGGCTTCAAAGGTTTTCATTCCACCATGGCTCACCATGGTCTCCAGCTCCTCTGCTTTCTCTTATGCTTCAGAGTACAGAAAGTGGCTGATATTCCTGGTGTGATGCGATGGTTTCTCTTTAACTTCTCAATCCTGTTCAGCATATGCTGAAACAACAGTGATGTTGCCACACTGCAAAGAGAAGACGCTTCCCATGATCTGCCACTCCATGCTTCATGTCTGCTCACATCAAATAACCCAAATGAAAAGCAGTCTTTCACGGGCTGATGTGGATGACTGGGAGAAATCTCTGCACCTGTTCACATTAGGACCGTGCCTGCCCTGATAATTCACACTTTACTTCATGCTTCAATCAGCATCCAGATTTTAAAACATGTCCCAGGTACCCAACGTAAGATTCCTGGACAGATCCTTCTGACAAGCTGATTACCTTCTGCCCAGATGAAATCAATGGGAGCTTTATTTTCCCCTAGCATTTTTGAAAGCCAGGATCTTGAAACTCAGGTGCCTGCGGTCAGTGAGAGTTTTCAAGTCAAATTATTTTTCACTCCATGCTCCTCACTATTGTCTTGCATGAAATGAGGTTCTTACTCCACTGCAGGAGTATAACAAAGGCTAATTCATGGTGCATCATAGAAGTACTGGTAATAGGGCAGTAATCAGTTCTAGGATTGGCTAGAACTTCTTAGGCATACAAAACCAATCAAGTATTTTCCCTCCTTTCCCCAAATAAATGCATGAACTTCCTTATTTTAGATGCCAAGAAAATCAGGTGAAATTATTTAAAATATAAACATTCATTAACAACAACAAAAAAAAAAACCCACACTTAAATCCTGAAACATCACATGTGTTTGCATGCTTCTCTCCATGCCTATCTTCAAGGTCACCAAGTGTAATGGCTGCTTGTGTTTTTTCACATAAGATCTGCAAAGCTGATCTAGTTCAGCAACTCAATTGGGATACCAGCTTTTGAGCAGATAATGCACTTGACCGCAGAAGTAAGTCTTATGCAGGTATTGAAAAAGTCATTCAGTTTGTATTGCTTTTTTTTTTTCCAGCCATTACCCTTGTCTGTGGTCAGTGAGCAACAGTGCCGTAAGTGTCACCAACCCAGGAAGTGAGGTGAACAGCAACACTTCAAGCATGTTTCTGAGGGGTAATGTACCCTTAGCTACTGCATCTTCATCCGTCCAAATCCCTCTGCAGGCAACTGCATCTGGCAGCATGGAAACACAAGGAGAAGCCCCTCTAGTCAGACTAGTCGACTCTGCGTGGACGTCCTCACACTCCTTTTAATGGACAGGCAGCTCAAAAGGAATGCTCAGCCAAGCAAGAGAGAGACAAATGGCAAAGGATCCCCAGGAACTGAGCTCAGAACAGGGATGCGCATGCAGAATACTCCCCATCAAGCATCACTTTCCATAATGTATCTCTTGTGCGCCAGAGAAACCAAAATGCATAATGCAAAGGAGGGAAATGGTAGGGGGACTGGCTTATTACTGTAACCTTCCTGCATTATTGAGGATGATATCTAGAAAGAATCTGTACAGTTGGCTTTGCTCCTTCCTCACATCAAAATGATCAGAGATATGGGACTGACTGAAGCAGACATGGCAGCTGGATATGTGCACGTCATTTTAGAAGGGTCCTTTCTGAAACTGAAAGCCAAGTCCATGAAAATTGTGGACAAGTATGCAACCATTGATTTGAAGTGACAGGGCTGCTTTAAAGGCTTTCTGAATTTGTCACATGAAGCTTTCCTGAAACTAAGCTCTTTTGAGCTTAATCTGACACCCTAATTCAGCTTGCATATGATATTCTCTGTCCCTTTCCTTTCTTCAGCTCCTGTGTGCTCTTTCTGTGTTATAGGGATAAAGGACAATGCCCAAGCTAAGAAAGCAGCTGCATTGTAGCAGCAGGTGAAGGGCATCTGGTTTAGCATTTATAGTCTGATGTTAAATGAAAAGTTCTGATGTTTTCTGCATGTGTTATTTTTGAGAGGATGGAGGGAAAATAATTCTAGAAAAAAATTCAGCTTACATTTCCACTTTGCTTCAGGCAGAGTACTAATAAAATATGAATCAATGGTGTGTTACGGTTTCAATGCATTTCCAAGGTGTAAATGTGCAAACCAATCATTTTTTACCTACTAGCCTCTGAGAGAATTTAAATTAGCTCCACCAGAAGTATGTTGTCAGAAGTTTTCTATAACTCTGCCAATTACTGGCCATATGATCTTAAGCATGGCATTTCATATCTTTGTACCTGTTTTCCCTTTCACTTTTTGTTTGTTCTTTTGTTTGTTTGCTTGTTTGTTGAAGAACTTACTTTTTCAGGTTGTTGCTTTTCCTGTGAGAGAGTACAGCATCTATGACAGCAGAAGTCTGATCCTGTCAGCGATAAGCAACTACTGATAGTATAAAGCAAATAACAACTTACTCCCTTGGATATTCCTTGTTTACTTCTTCAGTCAGTCCCCATTCACTGCTTTCATCCACAGAGGCCTGCTTAAGGACTTGCTATGCACTAAGAAAGGAAGTGAGCAGCAGTAAAACATGTTAATGTGAATTACAAGCCATGCTCCTGCCTTGTACTCCATGCTGATGTACGTTTTCCGTTCTGAGTCTCTGTCAACTACAAAAATCCATGCAATGTCAGATACCATGTGTGGGGGTGGTGGGTTTTTTCAAGTCCTTAGGCCTGAATCATCCCCTTAAGGCACTTTCAGTGCTATGTAGTTTCATGACATCCCCATCTGGTTTTTTAGATTTACTGCAGGCAAGGCACCACACCAGGATGCACTTAAGGTGCTGTTAGTTTTAGTAATGCGTGCTGTTCTTAGCTGAAAGCAAAGTCATAAAGTTGTTTCAGACATGCATTTCTTTTGAAAGAGGCATCGCTCAAACAGGAGCTAAAAGCAGAAGGTATAAAGCTCTGTAGCCTACTATTAATCTAATTGTTGATAGTTCTAACTTATATCTTCTGTTCCAACCTCTATCAAAGCTCACTGACAAATTTCTCAGTATTGTCTTTCTCTACCTTGCAGACAGAAATGTCGGTAGTTCTGCTTTACAGGTGAAGCTGATTAATTAACGTATACTACCCTCTACTGGCTGCTTGGATCCCCACAGCAGCTGCTGAGTCTACATAAAATGTCTACAGATGCTAAAAAAAAAAAAAAGGCAAGTGATGACTTTTCTGTGTGCCACAACTTGCTACACTTCCTTCACGGTTAATGAGTTGGATAATTGCTTAGTTTTCCCTCGAACTGCATTACAGTAACAGAGAAATGATCGTAAGAAGTTAGTTATGCAAACGGGAATTTTATTTCACAAATAAACAACCTGGGAGAAAATCCAATTAGCTTTCCTGATAGCCCTGCAGGACTGAGAGGGCTGATAAAGGATCGGAATGATCAGGCAGAAGAATCAATTTCCTTATCGCTGTAAAAGCAGCCATGATTTGTGTCGCAGAAAGTTCTGACGTCTCAGGAGCAAACTAAGTTTTTGTCATTGCAGAGTCTGGTTTAGCCTGAGGAAAGACACGGAAAGATAAAAATGGCCCAATGCCTCAAAACACTACTGCTTTGATAAACGCTTTTAGAACTGGGCTCTGGCAAGGGATGGTTTGCTTCTAAGGAGCAGTAGTCGCACTGGGGATAGCTTTTACCACCTGTCAACAAGGAAGAAACACCACTGTAAATCTGCAGGTCTCATTTCCCCAGCACAGTGCCATGCCCTGCATGCAGCCACCAGCTGGGCTGCTCATGGCACTCTCCTCCCTGGGGAAGAAGGCCCCTCAGATATAAACCATCCCCCTCATGGCACACCGCCATTTTGCTTCTATCAGAAAAACAACCAAGCATTTCTGACTGATATCTGTCACTCTCTGCTCTACCCGATGACTAAAAGTGCAGAAAGAGAAGGAAGAGCTCCCTGTTTTCGTATATTTTGACAGACACTTCTTTGCAGTCTCCAGTGAGCAGACACCTGTGGCACTGAGGCAGGCCATTCCCTTCCTCCTGCTGGGGTGCCGCCATTTTAGGCAGGCAACATGGCAGGTGAGTGGGGCTGCAGCTCCTCGAGTAACCTGCATTTTAAGCCTGCAAGGAAGGCTGGTTCTTTGTGATGCAGGTTGGCAGCCTACATGGCCTCAACCCAAAAAGCCACAAGTGGGACCCCTCCTGTGCTTCACCCTCTCCTTGTCAGATCTCCATTCTTTCCTCACGTCCAGTAGGAATCCCCTGGGCATCACCTTATGCTCCTGCCCATACCCCAGCAGAAGGGCAATGCAGCTTCCAATTTTCCAGTCCACTACTGTGGAGTTTTTAGGGAATGTCCCTTTGCTCGCTGACAGGCTGAGGGCCAGACAGCACACATGTACCAGCAACTGAAGTCTCCAGCTTAAACGCTTCTTGGTGATCCAGTCCTGGGCTCCCATCCATCAGCAGAGGTCCGTGCCTCCACTACCAGCAGAGACCAAGCAGCAGGTAACCCCTCCTCAGAAGGCATTTTCATGCCTCACATCCTCATTGTGCCCTGTCCCCCCTTAAGTGGGCTGCAAAACCTTTCCTCCACAGGAATTGTGGAGGAACAGCACAACATGCCACTCCCAGGTCAGCTGCTCTGCCCACTTTGTCCTCCTGTGACTTGAGGTATTTTCAGCTTCTCTTTTGTTTAGAAAGTTTCATAGCCTGTTTGTTTTTTTTTTTTTCTTTCACCCCTCCCAACCACCCTTTTGTTCTCTGCAGTTTTCTGACACAGTATTAGGAACATCCTTGTCTATGTGCTGAGTTACAGGCACCAGGAATTGAGCTATGTAAATGAAGACTGGGGAAGGCAGTCATGAGAGAGAAGTTAGCATCATAATTCAGCACGTGATTTTAAGGCCCTTGAGGGGAGTGAAAATGATCAGGGATCATCAAGAGCTCAGGTTCACAAATTTTCAGGCATTTTGGGAGATTGTTCAGCCAGGATGTTATGCCTGCTGTGGAGATGCTTTAGGATGACTGCTCGTTTTTTTCAGGTGCACACTGCTGTAATAACAAAACAGGTGTTTTGAGAAGGCTGGGTGTTTAACTAGGCATGTGGCAAACAAGCTGGGAAGAAATGCCCTGCTATTGGGCACAGATCAGCAAGATTCGTAGTGAACAGCACAAATGAAAATGACACAAACTGGCTCCTGAAACACTTTCCAGTCAAGGGTACGTCTGTAGACTGCTTTTGCAAATGCAAAGCTCAGAAGTGCCTTCTGCACTCTTCTGGGACATTGCCTCAGAACCTGAGGCAGAAGGGTGCTCTGTGCTGAAATCTCCAGCATGACTTCCATCTATCCATGCCTTTTCCTGCCAAAAAGATGGTTCATAAAAGATATGCTGTATGCCACACTCTGCCTCAGTTCTTGCCTTGATCTTTTTTCTTTTTCAATGTGTTTTTTTAAGTCAGATTGTGTATGCTTTCCTCCAGGAGAACAGTTGTAAATTGCAAGTTAAGTATACTTTGCTTCATTAATATTTGTTTTCTTCTTTCTTTCCTCTTCCTCTCCCAGTGTGGGCTCTTCACAATACTGTAATGGTCCCTGAGATCTGGACTTGGCATCCCTCATTTCTGAAGTATCCAAAGCTTTGTGTTCAAAACAAACTTGAACTGCTTTTGCAAATATGAATCATTGCTTGAGTCTGAAACACAGTACATTTTACAGAGCTTACCCTGCAACTTACTTCTGCTTTAGGATGTGTAGTGAAAATGCTAAATCACAGCTTGAACCAGTGATTAAACACCTGGTAGGAAGGCAGGGCCAACCCAGGGGACCTCAGGTGCAAGCAGTGCACTTGATTGACTTGATGGGGTGGAGCCAGGATCCACCCCTTCCCAGACCTCATATAAGGGTTGGCACTGGGGTAAGGATATCTTGCTGGAGATTCCTGTGTACCTGAGGCCCTTCATGGGTAAGTGGATTCTTTCCTTTGTTTCTGTGTTTACAGTTGCTGCATTTGAGTATATCCTTACTTGCTGTAGCCTAGGACTTTTCTACTATGCTGTTATTACTGTGCTTTTTGTTCTTTTACAGGATTCAATCCATGACTATAATCTATAATTGCAGATTTTCTTAGGATATAGCAGTCCTCCAAGTACTAGGTTGGTTGCCACTGTCCTACTAGTATAAAAAAACTCTGTCACTTTCTCTGAGTCTGAGAAGATGACTTGGTAGCATCCAGGAGGCTAGGTTTAGCTGCCAATATTTCTGTTATCACCTGTTTTTTGGATCTGTTCTGCCAAGAGATGTCAATTCTCTGTGCCTTTGTTGGCTGGAACATAGCAAATGCAAAAGTGGGGAAAGAAAAACTGATAATAAAGCTGAAAGTGCTTTAAAAACTCAAAAGAAAAAAAAAAAAAAAAAGGGTATTTTGTAACGTAGCAAAACATTTCCGTTAGTTTAAACTTAAGCACTATTATTTATCAATGTTGAAGATGGGTTCTGGGCTTTTGGTTCAGCTCATAGCTGTGGTTTTGTCCTGAAGCCAGATACAAATACTCATCCTTAGGATAAATCATGCAGCACCTCAGATTCTGTGTTTTGGTTTGTCTGCTGTTAACATAAGTACCAACAACCGAGGGTATTTAACCGTATTTATGTTTTAGCCATATAGTATGTAGCTCAAAGTCATGTCCCCCCATACAGGAGATTTAGTTGAGGCTATTTGAAGGCATGTTTATCAGTGGAACTATTTTGAAGGAAGTCAGAAATACAGGTAGAAAGGATCCTTAATGTAACTCTGTCTCCTTTAATAGTTAAGTACATGCATTAAAATTAATCCTGCTAAATGAAACACTCTGGTTTCACCTATGGTGAAAAACACCACTGTTTTCTCCTGTGGTGTGTCACAGTCTGCTAAGCCTGAAGCAACAATAAATAACAATCCCTACCACAGAGATGTCAGTGCTTACTGAATGATTTGAAAATCTCTTATTGGGGACATTACTGAAGCATGAAGCATGAGTGCTTTTATGCTGAGCTGAAGGGGACGCTCAGTTTTTAAATGAGGAATTGGCAGAGAAAGAGTAATATATGCTATGATATGAATTATCTGAATGAAATTCCTTGAGTTTTCATAAACATTCTGTGGAACTTCACATAAACGACTTGGCAAGCTCATAGGTCAAGTGCCTGTGTGTTTTGTTTTTCGTCTCAAGGGCCGTGATGTTGGATTAGACATCTCCTGTAAGTGGGCATTTTGTCTTTCTCTTAAATATCGGTAGCAGATCTAAAGAGATTTGTGGCAGAAATTCCTCCTCCTAGTGTGTATATGTATAGCACCAGTAAAATGAAGCTCTGTCCCAGTGGAGTCTTCTGGCATGCTATTATTCATAACAATTACAGAGCTTTGGTAAATTTGTACATTTATCTCCAGCTTGTAGTACTATGTTTCTCGTGCTTACAGACCTTCAGAGCTAAGCTCTGAATAAGATATTACTGACATTCCCAAAACACAAAACATCTCCAAGACGGAAGTAGTCCTTTTAAGTAATCTGCAGTGCTGGATGATGTTACAGAAAATCTTTTAAAAATGCTTCAGAAATCTGAAGGAGCCAAACTGCACCTTTGTGATGACATAAATGTAAAGCTTTCTTTCCACGTTGCTTTGTGAAAAATCAAGGAGAACTCCCATACAGTTCACCTTACGGTTACTTTTGTCGTAAATTTGAAACTCAGGCCATGTTCAGAACTGCTGAGAGGACTAGACTGGGTTTGGGAGCTTCGTAGATTGCACTTAATCAATTGTGCAGGTGCCTCAAATACTTGGAGCACGATCAGTGACTTGTGTCACAGCTATTCCCATTCTTAGCAAAGGAATGAGGAATTGAATCTTCCAGGTGCTTCCTGTCTGCTTTAATTATATCCTGTACTTTATATTCCAGCATCTCTGTTGCTTTTCAGAGACGTAAAGTTTACAGAATATAAAAAAAAAAAGTAACTTTCTGATGATGACATTAACAAAAGCCCTTATTTAAACCAAGATTGTGCGCTGTAACCCTTGGTTTTGTCAGATTTGTATTAATAAGCCTTAATGATGAATCTCATTGAGTTCTCCACCCATATCCTTACTCTCAGCCTCAAGGGATGCATTTAAGCTTGGCCTGGGTGTTCTGTCTCTATTTGGATTATGTTGAGGGGTGCTGC